GCTGGGAACATTTTCCAGACTCCCAGTGCTGGAGCCTGAACCCACTAGCCTGAGGCTGCTGTGAAATACGAAGAGAAGCTGTTGGGATTCCTGTCCCTGTCCCCGGCTCAGAGCTCAGCTTCCCGTATCAGCCTGTGGCTGGCAGGTGTGTGGGAAATGAGAAATCCCGACCCTGCTCTGTCTACTGGGGGGGACAAGGAGCTCTCAACTTCTCCCCACCCTGAAGCCTCCTGGCTGCTCTGAGCAGGGTGGGGGAGGGATTCTGCTAGTCTGGCCCTCCCAGAGCTTCACGTTTTTTTCCTTTTCCCATGACGAGTGGGATTGTATCTGGGGCAGCAGGAGCTGAGTGACGGTCTCTTGGTGTTTCAGATGCCGGTGACCTTCGAGGAGGTGGCTGTGTATTTCACCCAGGGGCAGGGGGCTCTGCTGGACCCCGCTCAGAGAGCCCTCTACAGGGACGTCATGCAGGAGAACTACGAGATGGTGACCTCGCTGGGTAAGGGATTCCCGTCTCCTTGGTTATTAGAAGCCGTGGGGTCTGCGTGTCTGAATGTGTTCAGGTTCTTCCCCCGTCAGTTAGATCAGAGGCGAGTGGGTTCCATAATGCACAGATGCCATGTGAGAAAGACTTACATCTCCGTGCCCTCTCCAGTGGGACATGGGTGTCAAAACCCAATGGACAAGCTGAACCATCCCCACCCCTCCACCTTTCAAAGGGGCATAAATCCAGCATTGTCCTGTCTGTGTTGTTTCTCGGCTGCACACACAATCCCTGTTCACCTCCCTCCTTGGGAATAGCTCCAGCCATGGGGAGGGCTCTGGGCTCTGCAGGTTTAGAAAGAGGCAGAGGTTTAAGTGCAGAGCTGTGTGTGAGTCAGCAAGGCACCCAGAGCGCACAGATCCTGGGAACGCCTAGTGAGGGTGTAGTAATAATTCAACTCACCTTCACAGACAACTTCCTCTGCACAAGGGGGCTCAGTGACCATTTTCCCGTCCTCTTGGATTCCACGTTCCTCCACCAGAGCACAGGGACAGGTTCCACTCACGGAATGTCCTTTCAGACAAATACTCCACCCTGATCTGATCTGATTTCACCCTCTGCGCAGGATTTCCCATTCCCAAACCTGAGCTGATCGCCCGGCTGGAACGAGGGGAGGAGCCATGGGTGCCCGATCTCCAGGCCTGCAAAGAAAGAAGGCTTCCGAGATGCACCCGCACAGGTGAGGACTGACACAGAAACCATCTAGGGAATGAAGGAAAAAGCTGAGAATCCCAAAATATGGTGTGAGTAAGCGCCCTCAGTTCTTCCTCATCTCAGCCAGGACAGGGCTGCAGTCATCAGATATAGCTCACGCCATTCCACCCAGCCTCTTCTCTGCAGGAGTTTGCTTCCCAGCTTTCCTTCCCTGTGAGTGTTTGGGTGGGATGTGGAGGCAGAATCCAATTGCTCAGTCTTTGTGTTGGGTTTTCTCTCGGTGCTATTCCTCTTTCTCCCCAGCACAATGACTCCTGTCTGGATTGTCTCTCTCCCAGCAGGTGCTGAGCGAGGGAGTGAGAATGAGGAGGGGAATCATCATCAGGAAGTTCCTGGAGAAGTTCAACCACAGGGGACCTTTGTGGGAGGAGCTGAAGGGAAATGTTTCAGTTCAAAGTCAACACGAAAGTCACTTAAGAAAAGCCATACAGGAAAAAGACCCCACAAGTGCTTGGACTGTGGGAAAAGTTTCACAGAGAGGTCAGACCTTGTTAACCATCAGGCAATCCACAAAGGAGAGAGACCCCACAAGTGCTTGGACTGCGGGAAACGTTTCACAGAGAGGTCAAACCTTGTTAACCATCAGGCCATCCACACAGAAGAGCGATCCCATAAGTGCTTACACTGTGGGAAAAGTTTCACATGTAGGTCGGCGCTTGTTAATCATCAGCCAACCCACACAGGAGAAAGACCCCACAAGTGTTTGGACTGTGGGAAAAGTTTCAT